AATTCGGTGTAGTCCAGCTCTAGTCTCGCGAGATCGACAGTAATCATTGCGATCGGGTGGTGCTGCGGTGCTCCATCTGTACTCGGCTCTTGCTAAGGCGTCCTAGAGGGTAGTCATGGTTGGAACGATTGCCGGCTCGAAGAGAGACTCATGTCAGTTCTACCGCCGAATTCAATGATCCGGGAGTCTCTTCCGAACGATCTATCTGATGTTCCACTTGACTTACGTCATCGTTCTCAGGAAAGATCCTCATGATACCCTCAGTCGGACCTATCAGAGAGCTGCTTGAGGATCGAGTGAAGTTTCTCGCTGACCGAGCTTCGAGGCGGAGACGACCCTCCGAGACGGCTCTAGGTCTCTGTAACCCGAATGAACCTTTCCTGAAAAACGAAATGGCCTTGGAGAGTTCACCACTCTAGTTTTGAATAGAACTGTTCGTGGAGCAAGCGAACACGGCAAGAGTCCGCCCGGACCAAAATTCGGAAGGGTGAAGTCAGGGCGAAGAACGGTGAAAAATTTCACATACTCCGAGGAAGGTAAGTAGCGACAGTCCGATTCTGGTCCCCAAGAGAAGGTAAGGTCCTGGAACGCGGATGCAGTCATCATGAAGATAATTATATTACGGGCCATCAGCGGCCGCTCAGACAAGCTTGCTCTTACCCACAAAGACCTTATTAGAGATCGGTAGGATTTGGCCGTCGGCCGCCCGGGTTTTTTCTCCCATTATGTTCTCCGCCATCCATTTCTCCACTAAGCCCGATTCGACCAGCGAATGTAGGCTGTGAATGAGGATGGATTCAGACGAGCACCGGGACAATCTCTTCGTCAAATGAATACGGAAGTGTATGCAGACTCACTACGGATTAAACATGCGGCCGAGATGGCATTTCTTCTGCATTGCTATCCCTGCCATGAATGTGTAGAGATAGTCTTCCTTTGGCATTCGCACAGATTGCGTCAGAGCGTGTTCGTTGAGGAATGCCCTCAGGAAATTCGATGAGTCGATTATGCAATATCTAAGGAGGTGGGGCGTTGAAAATTAGCTACTCGGTACACGATAGAAAAACATTGAGGGAGTAACTCCACATCGATCGCATCTCAGCTCCTGATCGAGAGTCCGTATCACCTCTTGATCGGAATATCTGCGATGAAGTTATCCTTATCCTCCGTCACTAAGACGGAATGGGTCTTCATATCTCGTCTTATGAGTTCCCCAACTCTGTGTTCATATATCTGGAAGACACGGAGGTTTTCGAGCTGGGTGAATAAATTCTTCCCGGCTCATCACCGATCGGCCTCTCGCCTTCGGAGCTCACCTGGAGCACATCGTAAATCGTCGTGCTGATTTGCGTACCGCAGTGGAAACGTTCCTCACTGATAGCGGTATAGAGTTCATCAGGTGAGTTGACCTAGAAGGAACAGGATCATTCACCAGACCAAGTACTCGCCCGTTCTTATTCCCCCACGTCCCTTAGGGCACTAGAGTTCAACCCACCTCTGTTTCGAAAACTGGCATGGATAGGAGCGAAAATAGACAGGTATTATAGTAATTCGTGAGCCAGAACACGTGCAAGGCGTAGGAGAGAAGGAAAATCCTGTAGGATAGGCGGGAGTACTCCTTGAAGCCGTCGCTACCTGGAGAGGATTGCCAATATCAAATTAGCGTTATCTGTGAGATTTCCAAGATAGGTGAATCCGAGTGCGGCCCACCTTGCTTGACCAATAGAGCCAAAAGGAGCCAAGATCCAGGCGGACCTCCACGAGAAAAAGTCGGTCCCTAGAATGCGAAAATAGTGATAAACCGAGGATCTCTTCCTATGTACCGCATTTGTAGATCCGTAGTTGGTCCGATTCCCGCTTACTCTGAACAGCTTTATGATGATGCAATTGACGAGAACACTCGATACGATCAAGGCCCATGTCAGGCCGTCGAAGGGCCACAGCATCGAGGCGTACGATTCTTTCCTCCGTGGCGCTGGATAAGCGTATGTTATGACATCACTGAGATAAGGCCAGGAAAATCTAACTGCCCCCAATCGCAAATAAGACATGCCAAGCTCCGACATGCCCACATCTGTTTCCTGCGGCAAGAGAAAATGCTGTGACGTCGGGATGTTCTTGTGCATTGTGGCTGAGGATTCTCGTCTCGCTCAGAGTCAGACGACGACAGACCTTATTATAAACCCAACCGATGAGACCGACCCAATTAGCTTGGCCGTTCCTCTCCACTAGGGAACCATACAGCGAGTTCGGCTCAGGGTACAGTTTATATCTGCAAAATGAAATGTGCTCGCTCCATCGACGACAGTATCGATTCCGTAGGGCTCTGCTAGTCAGAACTCCGGATGGAAGTTGGTAATGAACAAGATTTGTAAGGGAATCCGAATGATGAAGCCCTACGTGAAATTGAATTTCCGAGAGAGCATCCTCAGCGCATTGACTTCGCTGCCTTTCACCGCGACGAGTTCCCCAGTGAAGCTCTCTCTCTGGGTGACGAAATGCGGTGTACTCTGCAAATGCATTCCAGCTGCATAATTCCATATCTGATAATTTGACAACATGATCTGGGAGTGTTGGCCTTACATTGATGCATCCGACATGGAGAGTCAATCCGTTCACAGAAGGTATGAAAACGTAACGACTCATGGTGTCGTGTCTGATGAATCCGCATCCTACGCACGCCGCTTTGAAATCAGTTTCTGACATGGCGAACCTCACTCTACTTCGCCCTGCAATCAGGACCTGAAGAGTTTTTCAGACGCCGAAACCAATCCTTCTGAGCTGGTTTCCTTCAGCGAAAAAAGCGAGGAAATAGTGAGAGCACCTCGTGCGCCGAAAGCTCTCGAACATCGTCGGTGGCTACTGCCCCGGAAATCAACAAGGTTTGACAGCAATTCGCAGGGATTGGAGTAGCGAAAGGCACTTCATTCTCCTGAGGATTCATGAAATCGAACTGGTACAGACAAATGAAGTCGACCTTACGTTGCAAGGGCCCCTGAAAAACATGGGCTGAATAATGCTGAGGGAGGTCGAGCTCTGAATAGTTATCCTTCGATGGAGTGCTCCATATTTCCGATTGCCTTCACGTGCAATCGCTCACATAGTTGATAGAAATCAGCATCCGGACGGTTTCGAAGCTCAGATTCAAAGCAATGACTTTATAAGATGGTACGAAATCATCCATCGGATTTGTGAGCGACTTCGTCTCGCCATTCCAGACATAAAGACGCACGGCGCATCCGGACTGGGACATCAAATCTGGGAACGTGAAAGCCGGGTTGCTCCTTGCGCCATGGCTCGCCTTCTCTCATAGATATCAGCAGTAGAAGGGCACGAAAGAAAGTTTAGAGGGGAACTCACGTTCGATCCCGGAGGTATTCGAATCTACGATGAGACTATAGTTGTAGTTGCTGCCGCAAAACTCCTGGATGAAATCGGAAATCCCCGAATACGTGTGCTCACCCGGGTAGCACTTCGGCACAGCTGCCATGAGCAGAAGTGTCGCGTACAACGATATCGATATCGGCAGGCTACCCCGTGCGCTCCCACTAAAGCAATCCAACATGTTCGCTGGTGCAGCGATTCGCTTCATTGAGGCACCAGGATGGGGTTGAGCTGCTCTGACGCCAGGGCTCCTGAACGAAGAACCAAATCGCGGTCGCACGGAGCGATAGCTTCGATATTCCCCAACCACTGAGGACTGCTTAATTATTGATCACGACAAGGATAGCGAAATGATATACTGCCGTTACTGATTCATCGGAAGGAGTGTGCGTGCGAGGGATACAGCCAGATTCCACGACTCGCGAGACACAAGCTCGGACAAATCGAAGATCGCGCGGCATCGCTGTTCCACGCACGCAGTGGCTCACCCGTAACGAATATCCACAAGGAGCTGTCAGCCCCCACGGGGAGGAACCCTGTTAAATGTCCGAAAAGATTTGTCATGGGTACGCGACTGCACGCAACTACCACGAGTGACATCCTTGCACTGATCCGATACACCACCTCCTGAATTGATTCAGCCACTCTTCTACAGTTTGTAACAGAAGTACGCGCTCCAACAGCACGTTCACAGAATTTGTACGCGTTGATGGATACCGATGACCGATGACACTCAGATAGCGTGTTTCTCGAGGTACAAACCCCATGTCCATCGGTGCGAAATAATCCGATCGAGCGGTAGATGCCGAAGCTCGAGGCCTGATGTGAGCCTCATCCTGCTTTCGCGCTGCCTGCTTAGGAACAGAACAGCTGTACTCATAAAGAAGATTCTACGAATTCTTGTTAGAAATCGCGCTCCGCAGTTTCGTGATCTGCTGGGAGTGTATGGCCGGCGAGGGTCGGGGATGAATGGCGGGGTTTTGTCGCGACTCCGAGAGACCCTTGTCATCTTCCGAATGACCATCAAGATCAGCCTTTCCTTGCCGGACCTATCATCTAGATCTGTGATTTAGATCTTCAGCTCCAGGCTCTGTTATACCTCACTTCGAACTCGGTGTGACGGGAAAACTCCAAAATTTGCTTGAAAAGGAAGACATCTTCCTCGGTCATCTGCCGCCAGCTTCCGAAGGCCTTGTCAACGCTCTTCGGGAGACGGAGACGACGGGAACAGATACGTCCATCAACTAAGGGCTAAGGTCTCGCTGGCACCAATGTGAAAAATGCCTATCTGATGAGTCCCTCATCAGCGTAGCTGCAGAATATTCGCCATAAGAGCGGCAGTTCAGTCCTCTTGCGACTGTAGGTCAGATAGATGTCTTCGGAATGGGGTCGTCGCCCGAGATAGGAGTCTCTCCGAGGAGCTCCCTAAGGCCGCGCTGTGGGGAGACTTCACTAATGTGAGGAAGAATATAGGTACCTCTTGCTAGAGCTAACCAATGTCCATAGCTAGTTCCGAACGGACGGAAAACAAGTAGGAGACTTTCACATTGTATTTCCATCAGGGTGCCTTCCTGTACCGATTGAACATTTCTTCATCAGATTCCCAGAGCTCTCGGTCAATTTTCGCGTTTGGTGAGATTCTCCATTATGGAGTTATCGCAAGGGACTGAGAGAAGCAACTTCTGGAGGGTCAGAGCTAGAGCATGCTCAAACGGTATCTGACATTTGAGCTTAATGAAAATTATGTAGAGACTGAAAACGACAACCAGCACAACAGCGAGCGCCGCGTACTGCGCCTGATTCTTGCTACTGCTCACTGTAGCGTGAAATATATAGACTAGTATGGCTAGTTTGAGTAGAATGAATACATATGGTACTCTGAGTGTCCTCTTCGCGGTCGGCATAGTCCATCTGAAGAGAATTAGAGCGAGAATCGTAAAAGACTCGAATATGCATTCGAGGAAGGTTGGTAATTCGATCAACTGATCAATCGTTCCCAGGTACAAAAACACGATTCCGAGTGCGGAACGTAGAAGTATCGTCAGAACAGGAATGCAGCTCTCCATGTGGACGTGCGCGAGAGGAGCCCACATGTGGCCCTCCCGCGCAGCACTCAGGAAGATGCGACCTGTAACGAGCGAGGAAGTTCAGTAAGTTTGCAAGCAGCCAATACTCGGGAAAACTTCAGAGAGAATTCGATTCGAAGACAATCCTTATTGAATTCTCCCACCGTTCAGAATGAAGTGCCCACTGAAGCAGCCGAAGACGCTGATCCCCACGATTAGAGGTACGATTTTCGTAAACGACGGTTGATGGAATGCTTCGTCCGCAAACGTCACAGCGACGGCATCTGAGCTCAAGATCTGGTCGGTGCTCAATACAATGAAGTACGATATATTCGTCAAGATGTAGACGATTGTGACACTCAGAATTCCGACGATGATCGATAACGGAACGTTCCGCCGCGGGTTTTGCACCTCCTCAGTTATGCAAGTTATGTTTTTCCTGTCGAATGGGGAGTCGATGGGGGAGTTGCTAGTTAGCTGAGCGGGTTTTCTCTTGCGCTCCGCTCGCATCGGGAGACCTTTCACGAATGGGACTCCCGGCTCGGCCAAATACATAGTACAATACATACCACCCCGAGTAGGCCCACAACGCTCCGTATATAGTTGACACCAGATCTCTGGGAGATGTTTTTGAACCAGCGAACCAAGTAGCTCCTCGGAGGTGATTCTCTGCGGTGCACAACTATGCGTAGAATTGAGCAGTCTTGCGGACAGCAGTGTAGCTTTTTAGTCTCACCGTAAAATATAGCGTGGTACGCTCCAATCCCAATGATGCCAGCAAGGACGAGAATTTTGATGGAAGACAGAACGTTCACCAACCGGAGCACCACTCTCATGTTCGTTAGATTGAGAGCCATCGTCAAAGCTGAAAGGATTTCTCCACAGTGATGAAATTGGACATCAAAATCTTTCTCTCTCAGAACAATCATTTGCTGACTTCGTGATCGATCATTGATTTTTCATCCCGCCCCCGTTACTCTGCATGTTCTAGGAGCGGCCCTTTCTCGAGGAGCACACAAAAGAACTCCCAAGCGGGAAAGTTCCGGAATCAGCTGAGAGGAACGTCATAGCAGATTCTTTTAATAGAATTCGCTCGCCGCATGGGTTGGAATCGAAAATTTGCGTGCTCACCCGCGGTCGATTCAAACACCTCTCTTTCACGCATCCACATGGAAAAACAGGCACGATAGCTCCTCGACGATCATTGAGAATTTTTTCCCCCAGCGAGAATCGAGGGAGAGGAAATTCTCAGCGAGGTCTCGGATAACATATTGATTCCGCCGAATAATATGTGATGTAGATCTTTCTATAGGCGGAGCTTGACTTTTCGGGTGACTGTGATAGTTCACGGAGAAGGATGGTCATCTGAGATCGAGCAAGAACTCATCGACTGAACTAGTATGCTAGCATCCTAGTATCCTAGTATCCTAGTATCCTAGTATCCTAGTATCCTAGTATCCTAGTATCCTAGTATCCTAGCATCCTAGTATACTAGTATCCTAGTATCCTAGTATCCTAGTATCCTAGTATCCTAGTATCCTAGTATCCTAGTATCCTAGTATCCTAGTATCCTAGTATCCTAGTATCCTAGTATCCTAGTATCCTAGTATCCTAGTATCCTAGTATCCTAGTATCCTAGTATCCTAGTAACCAAGTATCCTAGTATCCTAGTATCCTAGTATCCTAGTATCCTAGTATCCTAGTATCCTAGTATCCTAGTAACCAAGTATCCTAGTATCCTAGTATCCTAGCATCCTAGTATCCTAGTATCCTAGTATCCTAGTATCCTAGTATCCTAGTATCCTAGTATCCTAGTATCCTAGTATCCTAGTATCCTAGTATCCTAGTATCCTAGCATCCTAGTATCCAAAACTAGCAGCCAAGTCAGATGAAGCAGTCTCCTGGAAATTTCCGGCTCCACCTACACGCTCGTCGGGCGAACCCTGGCTTGGCTGTAGGGGACAAAGATGTCAATTCTCAAAGGCTCGTTATCGGGAATTCTCGGTAAGGGGGTCGCCAGCTCCGTCGGAGCCAAATTCGATGAGCCCGTGAGACCCATACACATGACATCACAGCCTCACGGAGAGGGGAGCCAGACATCAGGTAGCTATTTTTCTCCCCGGACACTTACTGATGAAGAGGACGCACAGAACATTGGAGACGCTCTCATCCGGCTCGCATTGACCGTACTTGATGGTTAGAACGTATCTAACGAACGTTTTGGACAGGACAGCCGTGCCCAACGAGTCGCTGATGAAGAGCAAACACCACACGCAAATGAACGGCAGAATGTCCCATGCTGGACCGAGGTGCCGAGCTGCTACAACGAGATATGTGTAGTCGCTGCCTGAAGCTGGCACGACGCTCGAAATTTCCACGTAACATAGCGAACCTAGAAGGAAGACACCTTGGTTCCGATAGAGGGAAGTTTTGCTATTCTACAGAACTTGAAGGGAAATTCCTGGAGTTATTCGAACGCTTTTGTACAGAACTGAATCCTCACCAACGAGGGCTAAGACACCGCAGAATATCCAGATGCAGAGATCGAGGCCAACAGAGCCCGAGCTCCGAAGGGTTTGTGACGGCGTGATGAAAATTCCAGATCCTGTAGGCAAAATGGGAACATACTCGTCATACGGCACAATGACGACACTCCATCCAATGCGGCTGCAGAGCTCGTACTCGAGTTAGAGGTTCTCTGAGAGCGACGATACGGTCGCGTTGCCCGTTCGGACAGACTCGAGAATCCCTGATGGTTTCTCGCCTCGCGTCGGTGCGATGAAAAGGGGAAAACGCAAAAGCTTGAAAGCGCGAAATCAACTAACCAATTATACCGCCGATAGTGATGGCGGTGGCACTCCAAAAGCCGATGCTTCTCTCCAAAGTGATGAAAGAGCCCTTGGATCCCGCACGATCAGCTTCAGAGTTTGAAGCCGGGGTCTGGTCTAGTCTCCCGCTTGTTCTATCCGCCACGGTGCACATCTTCCAGCCTTCTGAGTTCTGAACGACGTAATCATTAGGATAGTCGAGAGCTCGAGGGGGAAGGGGCATCGAGCTCGAGGTCGTTGTCCACCCACTCAAAGTCAACTTTGCACGGGCATTAATTCTACGAATATACGAATTCCTGCGCCACCACTGTCCCACTCGGAGTCTCACATCGAAAACAGAATTTCAAGAGCTGCCGCAGCGAGGGATGAGCTGCAAGCTGCTCAAAGAGTGCCGTGCGAGTGGTAAAGCCGTGGAAGGCTCGTCGGGTCTGCACAAATTCCAAGAAATTTCACACGTGGTCAGAAGTTTCTATAACTCACGCAGGGCGATCGCGCGAAACGCGACTCGATGGAGGCGAGAGAGACTTAGTATGCGCCCGATGTCTCGAGTTTCTCGACAAGTGGCAGCCACCTGTGAAGTCTGTAAGATGATAGCCGGGAGGTCGCATCTGGCTCGGGAGTTTAAAAGCGCTCTCCGCATTTGTCGGAATCGAGTCTGGAAGAAATTGTGTCTCGGGCCCCCTCGACTTCAGCCTCCAGTTCTCCGAAGTGAAAAGCATGAACCTTCAAGGAGGAAGGAAGGTCCCCTACAGCTCAGCCCATCATTGCAACTCGTTTTCCTCGTTGACCTCCATAGCATCCATAGTGACCGGCTCTTTATTGCTTCTTCATTCATCCAGTTGTGGCTGAGTTCGCGATTTTCGGCTAGCAACACATCCGGAGCTTTGAAGACCATTTGTTGGACCTGTATCCTGACCTTCCTCATCCGCTCTACTTCATTATGCAATGAATTTCATGAGTTTTGCGGATACTTCTTGCTGCGAGAAGGGTCGATATTGAGCTCATATGGGCAGTGGGTTCTCGTCGATATACGCTTGAATGACTCTGATCGCCAGAGCTTTGTAGAGCTGAAGAGGAACTTGAGGAGCGAGGCGATAGGCCGCCCACAAAGCAGTGCTGAGCAGACGAGTAACGGGACCCAATCCGGAGAAACTTATCTTGAAGTCGTCGGAACGGTAGAACTCGATGTCCTTAACCAGCGTGCGCTCTTCACTTCTCGCTGCAAAGTAAAATCGCGATGATACCGGAAGCTCGCCTCCACGCGAAATACGCGTGGATTCAGATCGGAATCTTTCCCGCACCGCTGATCCCAATCGGAAGCGGCGCTTCCGCGGAGTAATTCGGAAGAATTTCATGCCCCAGGCGTTTCCATTCGGCACGTATATATCGAATGTGAATCGCCTGAATTCCGAAGGGAAATGGCCGATATCGACGGATCTCTTTTTGTGTCATTAGAGTTATCGAATGGAGTAGTCAACAGCTTGCACGGAAGTTATTGGGAACAGGTGCCGAAGGATTTGATACAAGCTGTTCTATCCGAGCGATCAGATTGACCAAAGCAGGCAGGATAGTCTGGTTCGATCGCTGGGGATTTTCCTAAGTCATATGACTGAAATTAATTTCCCTCACCCTTCCCACGAGGTGTACATATCACGTTTACGCTGCACTACCACTAAGTCGGCCCGCCGTGCTACGCGGGCATGGGCAGAGTAGCTATTCCCGATTCACCATATAGTAACGTAGATTGATGTCTACGATGAGTCGAATACTTGACGGATGCACGAAACCTGCGTTCCGGACCGAGTTCGCTTGACTTGCGGGAACGCTTCTTCTAGTCGACATAACTGCGACCAGCCGCGCGGCATCGATAATCATGTCAGAGAATCGTCTCGAGAATGTCGACGGAATGGCTCGAAGGCCGAGGAAAGCGGAGCTACAGCGCATCGGTACATAGTACGTACATAATAGTTATGGAGGGGCGAGCTTTCATATAGGCATCAGAAACCTCATCCCCGAAACTAACCTCGTCAACTCACCTTCCGCAGGGACTTCGACGTAAAAGAACTGGCCGAAATAGTCACTGGTAATGGCAATGATGCCGTAGGCCAAGTATCCCGGGAAAACGTAGTCATACAGGAATACATAGTCGACATTCGATACCCCGATCCTGAGTTTCACGAGCTTCGGATCCGAGGCACAGTCAACGCTGATCAAACCATGCAGCATTGTCTTTGACGCGTTGTACAGTCGGGGATTCTGGAGAACCTGGCGCATGAGATCGAAATAGATGTTGATATCAATTCGAGAGAATATTCGGCTCCTGATATGGAATACTATACCAATGTCTCATTCGGGACTTATCTATCGTCCCGCTAAGACGACGTCGCTCACAGTCGGGATTCAATGCCGGAAAGGGTGGAACGAGACTAGCGAACGAAGCCATCTAAATCGAGGGAGGCTCAGAAACGATTTTCAACTCACGAATAGCGCTATATTCTCTACTCGATTCCCAACAAAGTTAGGTTCGTTCTTCGCGAGCGATTCCCGGCTCCGTTCAAGCAAAGCTGAAGCCAGCCTTGTAACAAACACATCTCCGAGGCAAATCAGTCGCTCTCCGGTTCCCACTTGGCAGTCAGCGCTCACGAAGCAAAGACATATAATGGAAAGTTTCCTCATCTTCGAAGAGGTTCGTTTCAGAAAGGAATCATAGAGGCGACTCCTTCGTTCGCGGCATTGAAGTGAGGCAACGGCGAATCAGGTCAGGAAAGCAGAAAAAAGAATTCTTTCCTATTTGATCTCTGATAGCCCAATTAGAATCGTGATCTCACTCATTATCATAATGATGACTTGATGATTGAGCCGTGGCGAATGGCTTATTCTACGATTCTCGCGACTCGATTACACTAGGGGCGTGGGTGCTGATGCTGCCCCGAACTCTATGCAATCAATATATTCCAACAAGCCGCGGTGTGCAGTATCTTCTGCGTGGATGATTTTTTTATTACTGTATTAGGTATTCGCCTCAGCTGCCCGCCATTATCTGCAGGATACAACAGATGAATTGTTTCCCAAGCTTCGATTCGATACAAGCCAAGACAATGCGGGCGCGAATAGTTTCGCCGAATTTGAATGATAACTTAAGTAAATTATAGACTGCGAACCCTTGTGAGAATTCACAAAATTTCCGGGTTTGCGTCTGAATTTCTCATTCGGGAGTACTTGCTGGATTTTGACCTGATCCTCTAAGGGAGGCCGATATCGGTGGCCACGTACACATCTTGGCGACCTGCGACGCAACAGTATTTTTCTGGATTCGAGTGGCTTACTCAATATCAAGGAAGGCGCATGAAGTTGTCGGATGATTTTTTTTACAAAGAACCAAATAAAATCGTCGGAACACAATGACGGGAGCCGGCTCGGGGCCAGTTACACCGCTGTCTACAAAAACTCAGTCACTGTTCGCCAACTTATTCCGTCATGTTCAGAACAATTTACGTTTCCTTCCGTTCGAAGATTGCAATATCCGAGTTGACTGCCGGTCATTTGCATTCATGATACTCTGCGAAGTCAAAAAGAAATTAATTAGGAAAGCCCGAACGGGGAGCGGTCTTTTTTGAGCCATGTTTCTCGGAGATAATCGATCTCGAAGTCGAGTTTTACCTCAAAGTCCCCGTAGGATGTTGACTTCCGCAGAGCTGTCTTCACGGTCGTCAGTTTTGTCGTGCTCTTACTGTTAGGACTTTTCATAGTCATCTGACGGGTGTAGACTTTACCAACGGTATCTGGGGCCTTCCGACCTGCCGGAGTCCTCAGGCTGCTGGCCTTAGGCTTGAGCTCCGTGTAAGTGCCAGCTCGCTTCAACAGGCCGGATCTTGTGGTACTCGGCTGGTACAGTCTATTCGTCGTCGCGGGGGTAGATGGCGTTGTTCTGGATGCTTTCAAAGGGGTGAACGAGGTTGTGTTGTTTTGGCGCGACTTCTTCTCCTCGAGAATGCTGATCTCATCGCGGATGGGCTTCCCATCGATATTGACGGGACCATTTATCGGCTCATAGGAGTCCAAGAACTTCACAATTTGTTTCACGACGAGCGGCAGATTCTTATTCACGCGCTCTCGCTTCTTCGTCTCGAGCAGAAGCGCGCCACCTCTGTTCTTATACCTGTTCGGGTCTTTCTGCGCTTCCTCCAACTCGTGGAGCATTTCCATTAGCGAGGCTTTCTCGTCCAGAAGTTTAAATAGCGGAGTTAGTTTCGCATGCTTTTCCTTGAGGCTTTCGATGAGCTTCTCGTAGGCTGCAACCAACTCTTCGCTAGGCTCTCCCGGGATCGGCGCTAGAGCTTCTCCGGTTCGCAGATTCTTTGTCCACTCTTCTGCTTCTAGTTTAAGACGGTCAACGAAACGACCCATATTTGCCTTCTTGAGTTCCTCGTATTCCTCCACCATGTCTTCGAGACTGAAATCGATTTCGAAATTAATGAAGCCACGATACTGGATGCAATGAGTTAATAGAATCCTTGAATCAACTTTGACCGTCAACAGATTCCAATCGAGAGTGGGGACTAACCGTCGGATACTCTGGTATGTTTTGGCTTCCACATCAGCAAGAAGTTCGTCCCTCTCGACCTGCGTGATCTCCAGACGGTCAAAAAGTTTCAGTAAAGAACTCCGGAGTGTCGCGTAACGCGCCTGAAGTTCTCTCTCTTCAGCTTCCAACTGAAAGTTATGGGAGATCTATCTCAGCACGATGAGGGACCGCTTGTTGTCACACGGCAACGACTTCCGCTCAGACCTTACACAAGTTTTTGAGCTCAATAGGATCGCTGTTGCCATTTTTGCGCTAGGGGACAGGATATCGTGGAAATTACCTCTTCGAGAGTGTCCGCAGCTAGCTGGATATTGGTCTGCGTCAAATCCCACTGGTCGGACGGCGTGCAGAGAATTCGATCCTCGATCTCCTTATTGGGAATCTTGCCCATGGACTCCATGAGCCTCGAGGCGGCGTCCAGGATCGGGCAAAGTTTGTCTAGGCGCATACGCTTCTCCTTGCGAGCCATAGTCACGTGTGTTTGGAGCTCCTGAAGCTCTCGCTCGCTGGGTATAATTTTAGATTTCGGCAATTCATACACTTTGAGGTCGGTCATGGTGGCGATGATGCTTTTCTGGGCTGAGAGTAGGTCGTCGAGCTGAGCCAGTCTCGCAACACGGATCTCGTCCATCTTCGAGGTTGTCACGTCGACCCAGTCTAATTGCTGTTGGAGGTTCAAGTTTTCTGGTTTCTTGGGTCCATCGATCTCTAGTTGGAGAGAAAGCTCCTCGAGATCCTTGAGAGCTGTCTGCACCCGCTCTCGTTTCGCTTCGAGCTCTTGTAATTCATCATCGATTATGGTGCTCCATCTGAGGGATTCAAGCGGAATCGATAAAGAGAAGACCGAGGAAATGCGGAGCACGGCTCAGCGATCATATGTCCTACGGAAGTGGCCAGTCTTCCGAAATTATCACTCACCTCTCTTGGAACCAGATGAATAACTTATGCATGCGGCTGTCGAGTTTACTCTGCTCGATGCCACAATCTTCCCATATATCCTGCAACCGCAGGATGTTTTCTGCACACGAATCCACATACTGTGTGAATCTGTTAAAGAAGAATGAATTCTCAGAGAGAGATTCGCTGCTCGACTTAATCTCAGGACACGTCATCTCTCATCTATGAGTGATGCGCAGCACCTCCGGAGCGTTCGGATACGATCCGATTCAACATATGATAGGAGTTTCGCGCGACCGGTTTTTTCCGTTGTCAACGGTTGACAAGGGCAGGCTCTTCCAAGTTCCAGTCGGTGGAGTCTCTACTTACGTGTCTCGGTATTTCAGCGGCACAAGATCGAGTTTAGACAACATCCTTCCAGAATGTACAACACAATATAATCACACAAACGATTTCATTAGATTTTCCAGTTTTTCGCGATGACTTGCGTACTGCTTTCCGCTCTGTGGTCTGTTTCAACGGCTGGAGATTTAAATATGTCTCTGCTACCGCTCGCTGAGTCAGCGGCGGGCTTCCGGATAAACCTGCCCGAGGCGCTATTTTTCGACCTCGTTTCTCTAATGAACAGCTGGATGCACCTGACGAGGATGATTTCCGAGCCCTAATAGGGGGGAACACCTATTGGATCGGGGAAAATTTCGTTATCCCTGTGGGAAGCATCAGCATGAGCGAGGAGGTTGCCCGCCAATTTGGCGGGATATCCGTGGCGCTCTTGGGCCGCTTCAGAGCTCCGAGAGTGAACCTGGGGAAGTCCCTCCAGAGTGCGGGGTCGAAATTCTGTTAGCCGCTGGAGAACCCCCTGCAGAATTCGCTCGAACCTCCCGTTCTTCATGAGTCCGGGTGATCGATCAAAGTTCGCCGTGGTGCTGGGACTCGAGCTGTGAGCCCCCCGGAACCGCGCTTCAGCTCGAGCTGAGACAACATCTACCGCCCGACGTCGGCCAATTGGGCGAATCCCTCACATCACACACTGAGAAACGCGTTGCATGTTGCATCTGGCTGCCGAATTGCCGACCTTCCATTGCCGAAGATTCCAAAAATTCCCCTTCTGGATGTCAAGGGGTATAGTGATGCTAGGGATGTTCCCTGAGCATTTATTTCGTCCTTCTCGACGCGCCAACGACATCAATGTCGTTGTAAAAATGGTGACCACTTCAGATTGATAGGTGGATGCAGAAGCTACCATTTAGAGGCTTCACCTCCCGTGTATTCCCTCCCGGGGCATTCGGAGTCTTCGTGAACTCGCAATCTGTCTGGAGATGCGCCAGCATGTAGGAGCTCATCCGACCCAGAAGCTGGAGAAGACCCCAGAGCTCAGATTCTATGGAGGCATTTTTTTCGCTTGGGCCGCGGGAGACAACAATTAGCAATGAGAGTCACTGACATTTTTCTGAGTCTCAAGGAGTCACGTCTTGCGAGATCGACAGCTCGGCGGTGGAATGGGGTTTTGTGATATGGAAGGCGGAAGGGTGCAGGGGAAATAATTTAGAGCAGGACGAACGCGAGCCTTTTCCCGTTGCCGGATATACATTTTGTGAGATAGATCATGAAGATCTCTCCTTTATTTTGGAAGAAAAATAGGTAACTTCAACGGCAGTTCCATTCTCAAAATGTGGAAGAACGAGTTTTACCAACGTCAGTGTCCCCGAGGGAGATCGCAGGGCTGCAGCTCCGATATCTTGGTCCGGACCCTGAGGCTCATTGTGCGGGCTCATCGACTCGCTTGTCTCCCGTCGCCCACAACATGTCTCCATTTTTTCTGGTTTACTGCATAAAAAACGCTTGGTACGCATCCGTCGGTCCTCGGATCTTCTCAAAGCACCAGACGATCCGTTGGGTCCATCGACAGGGCTTTCACAGCGTTGTCGATGCGATTGTCCATCGCTAGGGCTCGGAAGTGCTGGAATCGGGACCTCGTGATGAGCTTGCGGCCTTGGAATCGATAATGTTAGGACAGGCAGACTCTCGGTCGGGAACGGTGCCGGAATAACTCACCTGACTGTTTTTGAACTCGTAGTAGAGCGTGAAGAGGACGTGAAGCGAATGGAGCTTATTTTTGTAGACCGGAATGTCCAGTATCGCTGGGGAATAGCACACTCCTTAGCTGGGGTATGATGGACTTCGAGACTTGAGAGTCGATATAATTCCGCTAGCCAATTATCATCACTGACTATTTTAAGACATGGAAGAGACTCCGAGCCTCTTGGGACCAGCTTTCGAACTCGGGTCTTGCTGTGAACTGTCAATCGAGAGCTCGAGGAGTTCTAGCCTCAGGTCCATGGTATTCAGGTCTTACCCATTATAACATTGACGTATTCCTCCAGGGAGCAGTTCAACTTTGCTGAAGGCAAGGAAAGTGTTTTCAGAGCCTCTTCGACCTCGGGCGGCCATTCTTGCATCAGGGATTCGACATCCGGCATCGGACGAGAATAATGAACCGTAGGAGTCGGTCGACTTTGGTGGAGTTTTTCGATCGAGGTCACCCACTCTTCGATTTGTTTCGGGTGCTCATGGGCGTCTTCAAGACACTTCACCAACAATGCTTCGATTGAAAAGAACAGAAAGAAAAAATCTTTGACTGGGGGAAAGCGGCTTCATGGGAAGCTCCTATCAACCGAGGAAAGGTTCGCAGCTTCATTGAGGGATTCTGAATTCGATGCCAGATGTCGCATCGGATACCCACTGGCAGTTTTTGCTGAAGATTGTTTCGTCGTCGCTCTCAGCTGCATGTTCAGAACGGTGGGATCGCTCTGTTTCGCACAAGGTTCATCCAAAACTTTGAGACCTAGGAAATCATCGTTTTTGTCCGGTGGGGGGATCTGTAATACTCTGAACGGGTGATCGAGAGTACAGTAGATAATCTTGATCAAAATTATCTGCCGCTAAATCTGGGCATCGCATTGTTCGAAATCGGATACACTGCGAAGAAGCAGATATTCCATTTGGGCGACTCTCTGCCTCGGCACCGAGAAATTTTGGATTCTCCGGACTTAAGACGGATCCGCATTGCATTTCCGAAAACCGCTCGACGGATCCTCCGAGGAAGAGTGCGAGTAATAGATCGCGTATTCGCGAATGGCGGGTATCTGGCCGTCCACGCAGAAGAGTTTCGGCATCCACAGAAGCAATCGTCAAGGGTCACGGTTTGGGAATGGACAGCTTAGGGGGCCGTATGAAAGTATCGCGATGCCTGTCACGGTTTTCGTTTCCAAAGAGATATTTGTTACCTTGATGAAGGCGTCAATGTCTCCGACAGCCGGAATGAGGTCTGGGATGAATGGTCGAAGCTTGTTATCGAGTTCGATCGTTTGCGGCGTGTAACTACAATGGGAACAGTCTTATGTTTATTGAGCACCAGAATCCACTCTCTTAGAATTCCAATCCTCGAAGAGCTAGCGACCGAGAACGACAGACGAAGCATTTGGAAACGTCGGGTCAGATACCTGTTGATGAGCTTGAGGAGTGTTTTCAGCTCAGCGGGAATGGCCAAATTTTCGTAGTGTTTGGGATCGTAGGCGTCCGGAAGCGGCGGCGTGTCTTTATCCTGGGCGTCTTCTTCATTGTCGTTGTTGTCCAGCGACGTTTGCATCGGCGGCTGTTTGAAAAACTCTGCCGAAAATCCAGCAATTTGGAACGCGTCGAGCAGTGTGAGACGTGAAATTTGCCGCAGCGAAGTTTCGACAGGGGCGAAAGCTGCTGAACCTCTGTCAGAACGACTCTCGGTGGTCCCGTTGAATGAGGCGGAGCCTCCTACTTATTTCCCCAATCGATGTCGTCGGAACTTACTTGCAAAAGACATTCTGACCCACGGTTAGTCTCGTACTCCCGACATCGGTCACCATGGTCACCGAGTACACAGGGGGAGCCTCGCGGAGTCTGGGCCGCCCTGCTCGATCCCGCGAATGTGCTGATTGCCATCTGATAAGCCGGGATGTCGCGCCCGGTTACAATGGAGAGCTTGCTCCGCTAGATACGGAAGAAGAAATCGGCTCCGCTGCTTAGCTGATTTAACTCACCCACATCCCGGGAGCCGGTGGAGCCAGGCTGCTAGGATCGTTTTGATCCGAAGTTTCCCCGAAATTTCCTTTCGGGAACGTGTCGATGCGCTTTTGTGAAAAAGATTCTGCGGATGTTCGCACATCCAAAATGAGCATGGAACGATTCATCCAGAGGCTTTGCTTCCGCAGACCTTTGTTCCCGCCGTTATTCTTCTTCCAAGAAAACTTTGCGCCAGAAGTGGGCGTTTCGACTTTACCAGCCCTCGTTCAACAGCGGGAATCGTCGTTGAAAGCGAATTTCCTCGAGGGCTGGACGCGAAGTCGGATCTGCAACTTTTTTTTCTCGTCAACTTATATAACTTTCGCCTAATTCAGGATTCGGGCGATATTGAGTCTTGACGCTTTCGGTGGAATTCGGGCGCTCCACGAATATTCCTGCAACGATTTACGCCATCAGAGAAACGATTCTGTGGCCCTGCTTTTTCCAAGCGGGGAGACGATGGAAGTTCTGCGATTCCGGACGATTCCGGGCTCTGAGGGAACCAGCTGTCTCTCCGCAGGTCTCGATCCCAGGTATGAGCGTCGGGTAGCACAGGGAGATATCGTTCGGGTGCCGGTTGAAATCGAGATCGGCGGGGAAAACGTCTGTCGGACCGCGGTCGGTGGAGGGCGCTCTTCTGAGAGCCTCGCTGGTTGTCCTTTCGCCTTCCTCTGGCGGACCTTCCCCACGAGGGAGAACGTTAACGACGACAGTCGAATCTATGTTTACATTTCTCGATCTGTTCACACCGTTACACTCATTCCGTTCCGCACCTTTAGGTAGCCAATCGAGGCACAGAGACACGTTTGTTTCGATTCATTGGTTCACTAATGAAGTAATCATCAGGCAATACGAAACTCAATCCGAGAAGAAAATGCAGCCTGTTAAGTCGCTTCCAGAAATGAAAATTTTCGACCATGGAGGTGAGTTCGAGAAGAATCATCCGGGAAAAGTAATAAAACCATAACCATAAGCACAATATCCGTATCGATGGATGAGGGGACTGCCAGAGCCAATCACTTGACATTCATTGGAGCCTCGAAATTCTGATTCCGGGCAGGGGACTCAAAGTTCCCTTCGACCCACCAACATCGACCATGCGTCGTCCGACGACGAGAAGCCGAATACCGGGAGTTTCTGACTCGCAATCGATGTCTTCAAATTTTTTCCTTCCACAATTCTTCCGCAGGCACCATGGCTGGTGTTTATCCGTCGGAGAATAAGTTCGCTGCACAACATAAGAAGCTGGTTCGAATGCTCACAGTGGTGGGCTATCTCCTCTGTGTGTCCCTCGCTGCCATCCTCCTATCGCTGTATTATTTGTTCCTCTGGAACCCTGACATGAACAAAGAATTCCCCGAAATCCAATCAAGGTTGACTAAGGAACTGTGCAGCACCTCTTCCCAGAACCCCCAACGTTTTGTCCAGAAAGACGCCCCTCCGTCCCCGGCACTCCAAGTGGTCAGCAGCAGTAACAGTCCAATTTTCATCATATCTCCTCCGAATTCGAAAGGTGAGTCGGAAGAATCACCTGAAAGCTATCCAGGATCCCTCATTTTGCTTTGACCCGCTTCCCTCTCTTCCCTTCCTTGCGGTTGGGATGTGACAAGGGAAGAAACGCTGAGCATGTTCGGCTCTCCGTGCTTCCCGACCTGCTGCCGCTCCCGAACTCCCTCGTGGGAGACGGTCAATGGGGGGAAAAGAAAAAGAATCATCTCTCAGGAATTTTTTCCTTTGCATCCCTTGCAGAAATACCCCTTCATCAGGGCAATCTGAAATCTGACGTCGTCAATCGGAGAACCTTCGTCCCGTATCCTGCAACCGTTTCCCGTGATATCATATCCCGTGCGATGTCGAACCTCTCCCCGGATCGAGGAGCTCTCGATGTTTCCATGAATCCGGTAGCCCACGATATAAATGCTGAAATCCATGCTGACATCTCTTCCGGTTCTTCCGATACCCAGCACACACCCAGCTCCACTGAAAGCCTATATGACGACTCGAAACGCTCATCAAGCGTCAGCCAAGAGAACAGCCAAGAAGTTCTGACCTACCAGGACAGCAGCGCCATGAACACCAGCAATGTGACGAGTTCGGAATATTGATAACACTGATCTCGGAACGACCCTACGGAACGGACGGATCGGTTCGGGCTGGAGGACGCGGCATGTTCTATCAATCGACTCCTACTCCGCTTCTGAGCTACGATTTCGGAAAATCCCATCAATGAAAAACGCGGGTTTCCTTGAAGATTTCATCCAGTTTTTCATTTTTCACGTTTCACCTGCTCTTCTCTGGGCCGCCACTCAGCGTGGTCTTCGGGCTTCCAACACGTGGAAGACTGGCTGTTTTCACCCGGTTTCGCGCCCGACCCAATCTCATTCTTCCTTCGCGAAGGTTCTTGAAGATAGGCAGTGTTCCGCCACTGCTGTCGATATGCTTGTCAGACTACTGTTTGGCTGCAGGGAATGTGAAAGGGTCGACAGTCAACCAACAGCCTGACCGCGTGCGGCGCGCCAAGGGGTGAGCTTGCTCACTTCCCAGTTTCGGAAATTTTCTTCAATGCTCCGGCTGGTAGCGTTCCCTTGCATCCGGCAACGTCTGGACCGTATCGCATCGATTCACAGAAAAGTTTACGTTTGCCTCAGGTCACTGCAGCGCTTATTCGTCAGTGAATCGTTCCTTTTTTCTAACCCACAGTGGAATCCGTCGACTGACCGAGCGATAATCCGTTCCCGATCGGTTTCTCTCTCGGTGAGGCATTCGACTGGATGGAAAATCTGTGGACGCTACTGCTTCCATTGAGAGCCTAACAGCCCTCGCTTCTCAATTTTCACTCTGGCTCATTGCTTCTAACCGCCCCATCCGTCGGAACTTGCTCGCAGACGTACGGATGCGGAAGATTCGTTTGACAGAGATGAATGTCAAAAACATGACGTGATGTAGGCAGCTTGCGCAAAAATCCGAGTGAGATTCCCTCTACGCAACGAGAACGCAGCGTTCCTCGAATCCATGTTCCTGTTAATTCGATTCCTTGGACCATCTCAACCTCTATATCGTCGAAGAGGAGAAGTCTCCACGCCGGTTTCACTTGTTAAGTTCGCAGCAGCATCTTGGGAACAAGATGAGACGGAAATAAATATTCCTGGTATTGACCTATGCGCCATGTATCATCTATCAAAAGCGAGGTAGGAAGCAGCCAAATGCCAAGGAATTCAAAAAAGGTCGATCGTAGTCATTAGCTTCAACTTTCGGCTCTTATGCTCCGTCGGGAGCTCGGTGACCTCGGCGCGTATGCTCTCACGCCACAATACTCGGCCGCCAGACGGTGGATTGATATTGCTTCGCCGCGTAAGCTGATCATAGTCAGAGCTCAAAATTCCTGTTCCCTTTCCGGTATCGCCAAAAATTTATTTATACTGAACCTCAACTATATCAACCTTCACGAGTCGCCATATCGGGGGAGCGCAGTATCGAAGAGCGAAGCCGCTCATTTTTGTGGAGCTTATAGATATAGGGGCGGCTTTCTTCGAAAATCCCCAGTGGACGAATATCGGCGAGTGAAAGAGGATGGCTATGGCCAGAGGATTGTGGATTCCCGGCGATATATTTCCGATTCGCCATCCCCGAATGCCGACGTCTGAAGACGCTCTTTGACGGAAGTTGTGCAAGAAAAATGAAACCTGGAATGAGCTTGAGATGGATTCACCTTTCAGAAGGTTTCTTGCAGAGCCGCAGTTACACGCTTTGTTCGAAACTTTGCTGAAGATCTTCTCTTGCGGCAGAATCTTCTAAGCGGCTGGAACTTGGACCCGGCCATTGATGCGCGTCTGTCATCGAACGCTGAGCCAGAAAGCCTGCCTGAGACTATTCTCTTCGGAGAAGATGGGCATTCTCCTGACGAGCGATCATGACGAAAGGTTATGTTTAGAAAATCAGGGAGCGAACGAGCCGCGAGCGTAACTCACAAATACTCCCTTTGGTCGATCCTGTTTAGAGCAGAGCTGGAATGAATTTTTTGCACAAAATCTCTTACGTAATAGCATTTGTGATGTTCAGTATACATGCTTATCGCGGAGGGTCGACCGACGCCGATTCACGGGCGGAGGGAACGCGACAGACAAGCAGATTTGTGGACCGATCAAGCGTCGGACGAGGGGCGGTATGAATACAGGCTTCGATCCACGCGACGCGAGCCCTCACTTGATTGAAGCTATTCAAGAGCTTATAGTCCATTCACACAGACTAGAAATTCTTGCTCAGTATTATAATCGCTCTTTTCGCGCTCGATCTCTTGATCGGACGCACGCCGATTGGAGAGCTCCACTCGACTGAGAGAGTCGAATCACGCTAGATGAACTTCCCGCTCGGTGGATTTGTTCCCCTGAAAATTCAATGATTGTTTTCTCGATTCCGCCAGGCTAGCGCTGGATGAGTTCACAGATGGTAATTTGGAAATCGATCGTGAATAAATACGCGATCAGAAGTTGGCTCTACAGTGACATTTGCCTCCTGTGAAAGGTTACCTCCAGTACCGCTAGTTAGACCGGTCTGATATCACCTTGTATCGACGTGACAAGGACGTTATCCTGAACGAATATACGCAGGTGCACAGCTGCTCGCTGCTAAATGGAAGACCCACGCCCGAGGCATGTGAACTAATCAATATGTCTGCTCTATCTAGTTTAGAACCCTGCCGGTGAAATACATCAGACAAACGGAACCAATGATTTCTTCCCTCTGGTTCACTCCCTGATCGGCGGGAAGATTCTCTCTCCGTTCATTGGGAAGATCTTCAACACTCAACGTCACAACTTGATCCGCTCGTCACCGCGGTGCGTGATTCGACGCAAAAGATCGCCCATCACTGATAGATCGCGTGAAGTGTTCCGCATGTTCGTATTTTTTTCTCCAATCAAATTTTAGGAGATGTGAGCTCGAGCGTGAGCTCGCCCGATCACGTGGAGTGGAAGACGAGCCAGTTGTTAATCAGGTCATAACCAAACACCTAAACCGGAGTGGTTTCCACGATCGACGATTCGGCGTGAAATCCGGTGATCTTGAAGATTTCTTTACACGTACGGTACGAAATTGCTGCGATGCGCGCCTTGGTGGTCCTTCGGGGAGTACCTCAATGTACAACGACGAACATGATTAATCGTCACGGTGTCAAGATTCGAGCTTGGGCTCGAGGGTCTTTCGAAAGTTCCAAGCCGTTGCAGCCGACGCGTGCCGGGCATCGTTGCTCGGGTTTCGGTTCGGTCTTCGTTTCGCGTTCCGCTAGACTCGGCTACCATTTGAAAAAGCGAAACTCTGAGCTTTTGTCTATTCTCTCGTGGATTCCGATATCCGTTTGAACATCTAGAAGAAGAATGAGTGTGACATAACCGCTAAGCCGCGTAGACAGACGACGGCGACGACGACGATCGCTTCAGAAGTTCCTTCCGGGGTATTCGTTTCGTTCCGAAGCTGTCTTCGACGGTTGCCAGCCGAACGGTCCTTCGGACGCTTCTCTGCCAGCGAGCCCTTCTGCTCGCTGGTTTGTTTCTTACCGCTCGGAGAGGGTTCTTCACAGACACAGACGACGCGCAAGCAGCAGGCTACATAGTGGAAGAGTAGTTTGTGTAGCGAGAAGGTTTCCACCCTTCCCCTTAGGCTATATGAGGCTTTCTCACCGGCATGAGAATGTCATTCGTTTGCGATGTTACAACAGTGGATACCGAAGAACGCGGTAGCGGGCATTTTCGTGCTCTCTCTTGTGGTGTACGGTAAGTTCCTTGGTCGTGTGTCTTCGCCCCGCCCCCATCGATCATAAGATAAATCAGACAGCTGTTTATATGATGCCATGATGTCCCGCCATGAAAAAATGAATTGCGAATGTGTGTCTCGTTATCGGCGTCGGATAAGGCTTCCGAGTCAGTCTTCGGAATGGCGGCGGGACCGTGGTGAAACTGATGGCAGCGTGAAACTCTGATAGTTGACCACTCCGAAGGGAAATGGCATATTGAGATGGTTTGTTCCACTATAGTGATCGGCCCGTGGTCCTCTTGACCTACCTCAAGTCATCACTTTTGCTACCTGGGATTTTTTTTGAACTCATAGGATTGTGTGCTCGTCTTCATATCATTATGGGTGGATCTCCATAGAGTCTCGTGTGCAAAGTTTGTGGGTTGATGATGGGTGCCGAGATAAGGCCTCCGGGTCATATTCATTTTCTATCAACGGAGAAGTAGTCACCGATCGAGGGGGTCTCGCATCTCTATAGAGGACCCCCTTCCTCCCTCACCCCTCCCCTCCCATCGGTGTGGGAGGGTGGCCTACCTCCATGAAGGAGAATTCCGGGGGTCGGCACCCCGTCGCCTGATTTGACAACTGATTCACGGACGGAAAGGATATCAAATTCACATCCCGATCCGCCGTCGTTTTTTATTGCGTTCTTCCGTCACTGAAGCCAGCCAGAGCGCTACCTATTCAGATCGGCGTAGATGGCAAGCCGAACGTCGGCTCACCCACGGCGCAAGCGGCCGGTCTGCCGGCAAGTCCGCCGCCATCGGCCAAACCCAAGCTGACTGATTGCTGGGAGTTGTGACTTGAACCACAGTTGGATTGAGAATGTTTCGCAAATGTTTTTCGGGTGGCTCTTGCGGCACGGCTTTCGCTTGGGGCGAAAATGCGAAGATGCCGCCGCCGCCTCCTGCCTCCCTTCTTTTGAAATACTGATCCGGTTTGTCGACGGTGGCTGCGCTGGTGACGGCGACGACAAAATTGACGCTGGCGATGCATTTTTCGGTTGCTGCCGGGCCAGATTCGAGCTCCGCCTCTAACAATGCGTCTCATCAAGCTCAGGCGAGCCTCTGATCTGCGAGTTTGCCTTCGATGGCAATGATTCGGCGTTGATCCGGCCCATGATCCGGCTTCGAACCGCCCCGCATTCCCTTGCCGGTCGCTTCCGTTGATGACATGAAATTCGATTCATCCATGGTCTTCCCGGAATGAGGATCGATACGCTATAGGTCTAATGAGCGACATCGGGGTATGGGGGGGGGAGCAGATTCGATCGCTTCAAAAATCCTTTTCCCCCAGGTATTCAGGCCACGACCATCTCGAGTCGTCAGAAGCGTCAAGTCAAACAACTCGAGGCTGACGTAGAAAACGATGCCGAACTCTGTAAGGGACGATCTCCGTCGGAATACTTCCGTCTGACCGCTGATGAGGACTGTCGAGATGTCGTTCGTTGTTCCGTACAAGGTCTCTTGGCTCTCCGCTGTCCCTCAGGACTCGCGTTCGACATCGAGAAGCAGACGTGCGACTGGAAGTCCAACGTCAAGAACTGTGAACAGCTCGAGAAGCCTCGGCTGGTTGCCCCGCTGCTGGCAACCGATGAGCCTATCTGCGAGACTGGGAAGTTGGCCTGTGGGAATAGCGACTGTATCGAGAAAGAGAAGTTCTGTAACGGCACCCCAGACTGTTCGGACGGATCCGACGAGAATGCCTGTACTGTAGACAAGGATCCCAATCGCGCGCCGCCTTGCGATCAATCGCAGTGCGTCCTTCCCGACTGTTTCTGTTCCGTGGACGGTACCCAGATCCCTGGGAAGCTCGAACCCAACACCGTGCCCCAGATGGTTACGATAACTTTCGACGATGCTATAAACAACAACAACATCGATCTTTATGACAAGATTTTCAAAGAAGGACGAAACAACCCCAACGGCTGTATGATAAAGGGAACCTTCTTCGTTTCGCACAAATATTCCAACTACTCTGCGATCCAGGAGATGCACCGAAAGGGTCACGAGATGGCGGCTCACTCAATCACGTAAGCATCATTTCTTCCCGTAACTTTCTAGTTCGAGAAGAATATTCGATTTTTTGGTCTTCCATCGATCCTGTGCCTAACTGTCGATTCCCATCTCCTTTCCAGGCATAAGCACGATGAGAAATACTGGTCCGAGGCAACAGCCGAAACTTGGGCTAAGGAGATGGCTGGGGTTCGTCTTATCATGGAGCGTTTCTCAAACATCACCGATAACTCCATTGTCGGTGTGCGTGCCCCTTTCCTCCGAGTCGGTGGTAACAACCAATTCTTCATGATGGAAGAACAGGCCTTCCTCTATGATTCTACGATTGCCGCTCCTCTGTCCAACCCCCCACTATGGCCTTACACTCTGTATTTCCGCATGCCCCACAAATGTCATGGTAACGGCCAGAATTGCCCGTCCCGTTCCCACGCTGTGTGGGAAATGGTCATGAACGAGCTCGATCGTCGTGACGACCCATCGTTCGACGAAGAGCTGGCTGGTTGCGCTATGGTAGATGCTTGCTCCAATATCATCTCAGGAGAACAGTTCTACAATTTCCTGAACCACAATTTCGAGCGCCACTACAAGACTAACCGCGCTCCGCTCGGTCTCTATTTCCACGCTGGTTGGCTGAAATTGAATCCCGAGTATCTTGACGCCTTCATCCAATGGATCGACGAAGTCCTCGACAAGAACGACGTGTACTTCGTTACCATGACTCAAGTCCTCCAATGGATCCAGCAACCTACTGAAAACTCGGGCATCCGCGATTTCGCTCCCTGGAAGGAAAAGTGTGATGTCAAGGGTCAACCCTTGTGTTCCTTGCCCAACGCGTGTCCTCTCACTACCAGAGAGCTTCCAGGAGAAACAATCCGTCTCCATACTTGCGTCGAGTGTCCTCAGAACTATCCCTGGCTCGAGGATCCGACCGGGGACTATTTCGCCTTCAAAAAATAGATGGACGAAGCCTTGCGTTCCGCTGAATAGAACGTCAGTAATCTGTAGGATAGCATATGTCGTAGGAAATGTTGAAGCTACGAAGAACTACAAGATGGCGCTGCGGAGTTGAGACTTGATTCAGAATTCCGTCCTTCCCGGTCTGACCTCATCAAAACGAATGCAGCATTAGCACACAGCCATCGAAATAGAAGCAGCACCTCAGTTGAAACAGCGCCTGATGAATGATTAAGCCTTCTCCTCTTAAGACGAAAGAGGTAAATTATGTTTCCGAATCGTGTAAATAATGTATATATCGAATGATCAAGCCGACGTATCGAGCCCGAGAAGTTTGGAATGATATCTGAGCTTTTCAATAAAAAATCGTTTTCCCGTGAAATATGAGGATTTGATCGGTGATTGGTGAAAAGTTCTTAGGATACGTGATTATGCTGGTCTGTGATTCGAATCATGCCATTCAAACGGATCGCTCTGTCACAGGAGAGCTGCGCGATGTCGATCGTTCTTTTCATGCGTTCGAATTTCGAACTTCATTGAGGGAGCTCCCTGTGACGAGGAACATACCCTCTCGGAGTATCATTATTTTTTCATCGTAGCTGCAAAACAGTGATCCGAATCCGATGGCTCAAATATATGCGGCCTCGGAGTCCGCCTCCTCAGGACGAGGCTGATTGCAGTGGTTCGCCGAGCCGCCAAAGATGAATGCAAACTCCAGGCAGGGTTCTGCTCCGATGAGAGAGGCGCGATCTAGGTTTCGTATATCACAGAAAGCCTAGAAGGATTCACTGCCTAAGTTTTGAGCGAAAATTCATTCGAGCACTCGCGGTCCCGCTCAGGACCAGAAATCCTGGCCCCAAGATTCGTCAGAAGGGACGCAGACGCTTCGTCCGAATCCTATCTGACTCGGCTTCCCAATCGTTTCTTTAGATCATGAAATCATAACTCTTTTCTGGATGTTCCGGTCTCCAGCACCTTTTTAGTCGCCGCGGGATGGCGATCCTATGAATATCAGCAAGTTTGCCCGCTGCGGGTACACTCCGTCACAGTAGTTTCCGACCGGGAAGATACACTCTGAGCGCGTCGTGACAACCAGGCCTGCGGCCCGAGAAACCTGGAATCAAACCCCAATATTTGCCGTGCAACATGTTCGAAGTCGTTAGAGGAACCGGTTTGAATTTCGATGCTCAACGAGGGAAGTCCTCGCGATTCGGAGCAACTCAGAATTGATGACAAGGTTCGTATTTCCATCATTGATTTTTACATTACGTATCTTTATTTTCGCTCTTACAGAATAAATTCGAACGAAATTCACTTCAAGGGAAATCATTTTCCGGGCCTGTTTGTCTGTGTATCGGTGAAATCTTGTCATTCTTTTCCTTTCTTGCATTCGTCATCCTCTCTAAAGACTCTTCCGGAGGTTCTTCGTTTGGTATCAAAGTCCTACGATTCAATTTCTCTCTTCTTGTGGGCGGTCGCCGGTTGCGTTCAGCGTTCGACTCCCAGTTCATTACTCACATCTCAACTTTCTTCATCGCTTCCTTGTCAGGTTTGTTCTCGCGACAATTGAGACAACAGGATACAAATTTTTTTCTCAGTTTTCATCGAAAATATTCTCGTCACAGGCTAAGTGGATCGGTTTGTGGATGTCATGGCATCGATAAAGAAGTCGAACACTGGGGTGAGGTTTTCATGATCGATGAGAAAAGTTTCATTCCATTGCTCTGGTGGAGAGAGTGGCTCGCATGGATATTCGCCCATTAATTGATTGATGAATCCATTGGTTACGGATAGTTAGATAGCTAGCTAGATAGATAGATCGATTGATTGATAGATGGATACATAAATTGCTTTCATCTCACCTTCATCTTTGAGAAACATTGATTGGTTGTGTATTGAGGTTCGTCTCACAGAACGGACAACAAATAAATTATGCAGAATTGAGAGGAAAGAGTGTATCCTATGTAGAATTTCCATATATATATGTATATATAAATGTATATTTCAAAAAATAATCGTGGTAATCATTTCATAAAAGTATAATGATAATTATAATAGTAGTTGTATTTCTCGATTTCATCATAGTGTATGGATTCGCGGTTTGGGAACGAAGACTACGCGCCTCATTTGTTCAGTGGTTCCAGCCGGCGGTGAACATCTTTCAATGTATAATCTACATCCATAAGATCGGTCGTAACTGATTCGTGGCAATGATGACCTCACAACATTCTATGATCTAAACGTAATGACTTGTCAACGGTAGAGCGACCACTCGAGGAACAGCCGGAACTCCACTGCACCATATTATTTTCTTCATACTGTGTCACGGTGGGCTATCCACTCCGAAACTATACAGTCAGGAAACAGAGCCGTAGTTGGCGATTGCGTTCACTAGTTGTTGTAATTTTTGTTGAATAGTTCGTTCACATCTGGCAGCACAATCATCAAACGTAAAAACTTATAAGTACGCTTGTCGGCGGCTCGCTTCTGTCTCGTTAATCGCGCTCTAGCGGCCGACGGGCAGCAGTATTGAGAGGCTGGTTCAGCTTTGATTCACTCTGTCGCCGAAAACTCTGTGAGTAGTCAATACGTCCTCATCCCCTGGGTTTCCGTGAAGATTCTTCCCCGAGTTCTCAAAAGGAGATTCAAGGCCTATACCGGGTCCGAAGTCCTAATTTGGGATGCTGATACTTAGGAGGCAATCGTAATCGAGCTCTCACTCGAATTCCATGCTGTCAGGAACACAGATCGATTACGATTTGTCGATGAGTATATCAGAGGAGAACTCCGCAGTTTGAACTCCCATACATAGAGCGCTTCCCTCTCTTGAGCGTGAAGTCAGCGTTCGAAGTGCGAATTCGAGAGTTCCCGGAAATTCTTTCACGCTCCACGCGGGACACCTGTGTCGTCTGAGTCATCGAGAGTGACATCTCGGGCAGCGAGCTCCGAGCGATGATATCGCGCCGGAAGAGCTCCCGATCTCGACATCAGATGCTTCACAGTAGTGGAAATTTCCCCGATTCTAGAAACTAGACGAGTTTATAATGAATCGGAAATTCATTGATGGTTCGAAAAATATTCTTGTATATTCTCGAGAAAAGTGAATTTGTAAGCTTCAGAAGGAGCATATCTCTTTTCTGATTTCTCTGCCTCTTCCTGAGTTGTTTGTCTTCCAGCTGAGAGATCTCCCGTCCTCCGGTCAGAGGATAGGGCTTTGCGAAGTACGGCATGCCTTCTCGGATGTTCGAAACTTTCATCGAGGTATGAGCAATCGTGAAAGCTCCCTGCCAGTTTACTTTCCTTTTTCGCTGGTTGCTCTGCTCGGGTGTTTTTTTTCTGTTCTTGCAAGGTATCGGAGTACCTATACGTAACTGCAGCTGCTCAGGCCGCTACCGAGGATTCAAGTCGAACTAATCCCGCTGGTCTCCTCAGAGACCATTCTATTCGTCGGTGCGAAACGAAGAGCTCGGGAGGAACGCCGACCATACTGCGAGAAATGGGGATCAACTCTGAGGCTGCCGACGTTTGCGCGATCAATTACCGGGGGGACTGGCGTACGGTGAGTCAAACTCCATCATCACGGTTTCGGTAAGAAGAACCACAAACTTCTATCATCGTCATCGCCATCACTCAAAAGCCAACAACATCCAACCTTCGTGAAAAGATCAGATAATAACCAACAGCACGCAATAACTGATCAAGAACCCTTTGAGCTGGCGACCTCAAAACTTGAGACCAATCTTCTACAAAATACGGAACAATCTTCAATCGATCTCTGACTCCATACTTCTACCTTTGACCGAGTAGATATCACAGCAGTACACTTCAAATGCCTCCAGTCTTCCGACTGCATGGCGCAGATCTCTGCTCTCGCTATTAATACCCTCATATCGCCGTCTTCGTCATACCTTATCACACTCCGCCGCTCCTTCATCTGCTTTCTGCCTGGTACCAATCCCCGAGGTTCGAAACCCAGGCTTCTTGCTCAACCTCTCATCTCGATGCCCTTCCCTCAAATTCCCGCTCTTATCGCAGTCCTATTGACTCACCTCTCACTTTTTCTCACTGCTGTTACCGAAACTTTCTGGCTGTGGTCTCTCTCTCTCGTCTCCCTATCTGTCGCTCGAGTCTGTTCGTCTCTCCCCATCCTTCCGAAACTGTTCCACTGTGTATCGGGTCCGCTCGCGATCCGGTGGTTGGACCCGTCCTTTTGATCCATCTGTCTATGAGTCTTTGTTGCATGTAGTCTGCCCCGCGTTCCCCAGCTTCGGATCCGTAATTCTCGGTGGGACAATGCTCCGGGAGTATGTATATCTGTTCTAAAAGTCGCTCATCATGTCTCCAGGCAATCGTTACGATTCCATCACACGAAACACTGTTCGTGCATCAATGAAGGGGAACAAAACGCGTGTTGAAGATCAAGAAAACTCAGGAGAAAACGATTGATGTTCTTTCTCATCCTGCTACCAACTCAAAACCGGGTTGATCGATAAGAAGTCCGCTGAATGCCGATGTCCAACGCAGTCTCGAGCCTCAATGTGAGGTGGCTCGCTTGAGCAAGAAGAAACCAATGACATTATTCGTTCGTTCGTTCGTTCATCCATCTCGTACAAAAATCATATTCCTGCTCCGTAGAGATTATCTGTGGGTGATGTCAGCACGATAATTGGCACTTCGGCCCTCAATGTTGCATGCACGGGACGAGGAGAATAATCCGTGGGTAAATAGAAGGTAAGAAGGTGGGAGCATTCCGTGTCAGTTTTCGCTCTGACAGCCGTCAAAAGAGCTCCGAGAACTGTTCTCCGGAATAGGGCTCGCGCCCGACGGAGGGTTTCTCGGGGGAAAAAAACGGTATCGAATATATGTAACTACTCGGTGGGCGCGCTGCTCTCATGGGACTTCCAAGTACGTTTTGTATAAATAGGTGCTGACCGCGATTCGTCAATCAATGATCACGGTCGACGCTTCTCAAGACGATGAGTATGTCAGCAGATATCTTCACGAATCGGCTTCTGTAGTCGTGCAGCAGATGCGCAAAAAGTCCTCGCTGTTGGGAACTACGGAGATTCTACGTGGATCCAACTTCGCGAGCGAACGTGCGGCCATAATCCGACTGACCGGCCGGCCGGCCGACAGTCCAATCAAGCTAGCGGACGAGCTTGGGATAACCTGGTAGTGGATCAGAGAACGAGAGAACGGACGCTTACGCGTAACCGCAGTAGGTACGTAGAGGTACCTCCTGCGTCGTTTCCTCACGAGTCCATTCCTCTGAGCCGCTCTGCGGGCTCACACTACTTTCCCGCGAACGCTCTCTCTGCTGGAGTTTTTTGGGCAAATAGAATGTGGTTGTTTCGTTGCTGGTCGCGTCCCGCATCTGCAGGAAGCGTCTAAGCTTTTTGTAGGGATGAACTACTGCTTCTGGGGAGGAGGGCTGGGACTCCGGAGGACCGACGCTCTCCTTGTCTTCCTCCTCCTCCTGCGATCGCTGTTGCTGCTGTTCATTGGGAGTGGTTGAACCCGTAGTTTTCTTGATGGTTGACAGCGTTGCACGAACATCTACGTTCTGGTTCTCCACCGAGTTGAGTGTAAGTCACCTCTCCGAGTTATATGGATCGGGATGGCTGTGATCACGTTGGCGCCGGGCAAGCTGGCAGAGTGTCTCGACTGTGATGGGACCTGCTTCTCCTTGAATGGAGCCGTTTATGGCAGCGACGGATTTACTTGAAACGCCGTTGAACGTGCTGGATTTGGCGCCATGGTCGCTGTCTGAGATTTCGTCGACGCCTCCACCGCACTTCGCGCACAATCTGGAAGGGAAAAAGTCCTCTGTTCATCTCCAGCTCGTCGGCAGGGATAAGCATCTGCAGACGAGGAGCGTGGAATTTTTTTCATCTGCTAAGTCGCTGCTGGAGGACCAGCTGTTCCCCTGTTTAGTCTCTTTGTTCTCCACCCACCTGAACAGGGATTCGAGCTGTTCCCAACGGAGTTCGTACTCGCTTGAGCCCGTTCTCACAATTATCGAAACTGGTTGTTGGTTTGTCGGGGGGTCTTGATCTTCGGGACCAATGGGCGACGAGGCGGACGTTCGCGATACCGGCGAAACGGGGACTTCCACGGGAGACGAAGCGCTACTCGCGCGTCTCGACAAGCCGCTCTTAGTACTGAGATCTTGGACGAGCGTAACCTCCTCATCGTCAGCTCCCCGCGTCCTCGGAGAACGACGCGAAGCATCCGAAACGTCGATGTCGGCTTCGCCATCGAACGAGCGGGTCTCAGCGAATCCATTGGACGTGACGACATTCATACTCGTTGTTGTCGACGTCTCGCTTCCGCAGGGCGAAAGCCGCTGACGTTTTGCTTCGGTCGTTCTCAGCAGGCACTCTGGCTCCAGTACACCGCTGGCAGTTGAGTTCGGATTGGAGCCGTTGCTTACACTTCTCGGAGGAGTAATGCCTGCGAGAGGAACGATATAATGAGCGTCGTGGCTCGAGGATCAGGGACGATATCCCCGTGAATACGTGAAATTGAATAATAATTATCCGCCGACGTCTTTCCGAGAATATCCACCGTCGACTTTCCGAGAATATCCTCCGTCGACTTTCCGAGAATATCCACCGTCTTAGGAAACAGGATCAGCAACTCGCTCGTGTCGTACATCGACAACGTAACTCGTGCGTAACCGAGTCAAAGAATGTAACCGAGTCACTTACCATTTTGCACATTATGAGAGAAATGAGATTGCAAGTGCGGAGGCAAGCTACCTGGCGAAAAAGCCCTGCTGGTACCAGCACTCTCGTCGGGCAGAGGGGGAGCGTGAGCCCCCACGAAAGGACGGAATGAAGAAAGACGTTGCCCTGCGAAGAAAAAAATTCTAGCTTCCGAGGCCAGCATCGAGCCGATGGTCATGGGGTGGGAACTTGTTTGATAGGTGAAATGATAATCAATGAGCGCCCACCTAGGAGACTGTCTGGTGAAAAAGGAGGAACAAGCCCGCTACCGTGGAGAGGGGAACCGACTCGCATTTGCGCGAGGAACTCGCTCGGACTTGTCGATGAGGGAACAACTCCGGATAGAGCTCCGGAAATTCCTCCCTGTGCCTGGATGAGCCGAGACAGAAAAGCGTCTGAATTGAGATGGCCCGCCCCTGGAAAAAAAGGGCGATTCAGCGATAAATATGAGTTTTCCGTGACCGTTATCGTGAACAGGTCGAGGAGCTCGATGTTACGCCGTAGGAAAATTCAATACCCACCGGGTAGAAGGAAGGGTAGTCCGGAGAGAAACGGATGGCTGAGTACTCCTCCGGGCACACTACCCGCACGCAAATCCAAAGGTACGGGTGGGGATGCTGAAGGCGTGGACAGCACTGTTTCTGGTGGCGAGTTCGACGACAGCCCGAAGCTTCGTCCACGACCAACGAATTGAGATGAGTGCGGAGGCATCACCGAGGACAAGAGAGGCTTCGAGCTCCGAGCTCCCTTGCGCCGCGGGGCTAATCGATCCTGAAATTCATCATGCTCGTACCGCTCCTGCCGAACTCACTTAAACTCGGAGTATTGTCAAGGAAATCATTCGTCTGGAGATACGAGCCGCTCTGCTCCGGAATCGTCTCGACTCGTCGGCGGTCAATTAGGTAATCATCGGAGACTTCGAACCCGACTTACCTGTCTGCCGAGCCGTTCGGTAACACATATTCTGGTGTTGAGTGAAGCGCCCTCTTCCTGGGGATGATTGTGGATATGCGTGGCAGTCATGATTGCCAATCGTCTTGTCTGAGATCGATACCGCAGGTAGATGTGCGCCTTGCACTGGCCCGAACGGTTGCTGCAAGGAGAAGTTTAGCTCTCTGAATAATTTGAACGAACAAAGCTCAGAAGAGGCTGTGAGCGAAAATGGGCTGTTCAGCAATTCGAGGAGCGGAGCATGTCGAGAGGGCAGTCGCCCTGTCTACCGCTCGCCAACCTAAGGTCATCAACCTAATGGGGAAAAGGAACGGCGTGGAAAGACAGCATCGACGGACACGGAAATCTACGACAGTCCCAGCGTTATGACAGCGAGGCCGTCCCGCGGCCAGACGGTTCTCGAATTGAATACATAGTAACTACATGCTATAGCTAGGCTCGTCGTGACAAGTCATGAGAATCGATTCCTCCGACTACTCGAGACGGATGAGTGGAGGAATTATAAAAATGTTCTCAGACAGAGGATAAAACTTCTCAGGAGCTAGCATATTGAACATCCTCCACAGAACAGAGACTCCCGAGTTGGAACTTTGTTGCAGCTTACGCAACCCTCTTCCCCCGGCACCGCTGAAGCCGACGCTCGATCCCTAACCCCGTCTGGTGAGTGGGACCATGAATCCAGTCCCCCTTCTCCCCTGAGCGCTCGGTGGGCTGGCTGGCTCGCTCGCTCGTGCTGAGTTCGTTTCCTTCCTCCCATCATCCCCGTCTTCCACGTCTTCTCTCGTTCCCCTTGGGCCCTGCCGACGTCCAGAACGGGCTTCCCTCCTCCTCCTCCTCCTCGCTGCTCTCCTCTTATTCCCTTCCTCCCGGACTGCCTCGTGCCGCCTCTGGTGTGGCCGCTGCTGACGCTGCTGCTGCCGCTGCGCCGCCGCCGCGTTGCCGCTGCCGCTGTTGGAGAACACTACCATAACTTCCGTGTGTCTCGCTCCGTGTCCTTGAACTCCGGGACACGCGCAAACCTGACCAACTACCTCCGCTAGCGCCGAGCGAGCGAGAGAGATTTCCCGAATGGTGCGGCGTTTGAGGACGCAAATGGAGCACACGTGCGGCGATGGCGAAGCGCATACGCGAGGGAGGCCGGATAGAACCCCGGCACGTGGCACAGCGTAAACAAATGGTGGGGCTGACACTTTTTTCGCCTCATCGGAGAACACGGCCGATCGATATCGACGTGTGGCGGACCCGACTTCAGACTTCTCCGAGCAACCGCGACGACATGAAAAAATTATTCTCTGTCCAAAAACTTGGCGGGGCGGCATTTGATGAAATGCAGATGAGACGTCAGAACTCAGATCCGCTGTTGCCGAGGCAGCGCTTCCTCGTCAGGCTTTCCTCGGTTCTCTCACGCCGAAAACTCCCCGAAGCTCGCACCGATGCTCCCTGACGTGGTCTGCAGAGCTCTCGCTCTCCCACCCAGAAACCCCACCCAGCGACCGGGAGTCGGGAACCTTTCGCTTCCTCCCTCCCTCCCAGACCTTCCAGGCACTCGTTCTCTAGCGACCCCTCCAACCTGTTATCCATCCTCCCACCTACTCATCCGATACATTGTAGCAGCCTGCAGCTCCCGGTCCCGCTCCCTCTGCTCCCTCCTATTTGCACTACACATGTGTATATCAAGCCAGAGCGCTCCGGAGCAAGCGACCGCGAGCGCTCCCACCCCATTCGAAGACCTAGATATTGCGAGGATCTTCAACGATTCGTTCGAGGGAAATGGAGATGGCCACGAGAACTTCAGAAACAATTCCAGCCCTGGCAAAGTCTCTCCAGCTGACGCTCCGTTATTAGTTCCCGTCCTATTTTCTATCGTCCCGACGTAGATCATGATGGAGAGATAGAGAGCGCTTCCGTCCATCGCCCCGTTTTCGCGCTGCAAACGTCATCGTTACCAGGAGAATTATCCTTCTTCTGAACCGAAAGGACTCTCTCTCAGAAAATGAGCTCCGAATATCCCGCTCGGAGAAGCGCTGTGGGAACCGCGGTCTGGGACCGGCGCATTTCCCTCTTCTCTTCGGAAATCAGCGTAGGGCTTTGTTCACCTGCTTCCACAACACTGAACGCCGGCAGAGTCCACCGCCGTGACGTAACGTGTCGTTCGCGTAGATCGCGCTCTTAGCGCTCTTGGGAGGATGACTCACTTTGATGGAAAACGTAAGAACGAGATGGGAAAGAGTTCGGAGCTCGTAGATCTCTAGGTAAAGAAATTGTACAAGTTTGGTGCGGGAGAGACGACACGCGCAGACGCAAGGTCATTGCCGGGTCTCTCAAGAATGTCATCGAGCTCCCGGGCGGCGACTGAGAACACTGGAGACGATCCTAAGCGCTAGAGTAAACAGTCGATCTTGAAAGGTCAACGAAGTCTACGATCTGAGTATTTGGTGAGATGTTGAGCGGCCAAGCATCGTTGGCGATCAAAAATCGAGTTGTTAACTTCGAAATAAGGAACTCAGCCAGGATCAGAGCCCTATCATGGCGCAGAGGTTCGACCCGCAATACTCCGACCTTCAGCTCCAATACAACGCGGGGAATACTGCTCTCATCCAAGCTGTCTATGAATACATGGGATCAATTCCGAATATTCTGCACAGCAGGTGTTTCTCAGATTAGTCCTGACCGAGTTTCTCTCAGTGCGAGCACCGAGTTGGCACTCAGGACACCGATGGGAATCAGAACGGAGCCTGTCGCGGTTTTCCGTAGCGCATCCAATAATCATAAGGAAACCGATGGAGCAGATCGGAGCTGTCAGAAGTCAGAGAACACTCCGGAGCTCGGGACGAGACTTTTCGGCCGGAATCGAGGCCAGCACTGGGGAGCGTGATAATTTCTCTCGCGAGATCGATTCGAGAGTTTGTTTGTGCAGGCGGGGTCGGCTCTATTACTACCTGTATCTATAGGGCGTTCGAATCGTACGGAGCAAACTTGAAAAAAACGTCAGTACGCATACTCGGAAATCTCCGGCGCGTGTTGTGTTGTTGTGGCAGCCGTTCCGTGGAGGTCTCTAAAGATACACGTATTGTCGATCTTCGCTCGCACGGCATTTCCCCGCAGGATAGCTCACAATTGACAGCCGTACCAGGAGCGGCGGCGGAAGCGGCCGCGGACAGGGGTAGAAGCAGTCTTGGCGAGATGGAGGAGGAGGGTCGGCACGTGTATCGCTCTCGGCCGCTGTAGCGCCAAGGTCGCCACGCGCCTCAGTATTTCCATTCTCAGCCAGGCGGAGGTCGATGAGCTCACGGCAACAGGGAAACGCAGAGCTAGGCAGATGATGACAGTTTGCCGTCGGCGCTAGATATTCCGTGAACGTTTGGAAGTGCAGGATGGGAGACTGCCGCCAGACTTGTACCGTTGCTTAAAACAAGTTTCCGGGCGAAGTATAAATTATAAAATGACAAACGAAATTTACTAGGCGATTTGGAAATCGCAAATACTGATCATAGTCTTTGTTCCGGTAATTATTAGGAATCCATCAGTTACGGTGCTTGATTGAATCCGTTAAGGACTTCAGAATTCGAAATGTGTCAGAAGAGATTGCAAACATCGGTTGCCGTTTCGTGGCGCCGCTCACGCGATAACCATCCCGAACCTGCCTGGCGTGAAATCCGCAGGCGGATCCGATGGACCCCAGGCGTAGTCGGGAGCTCTCAAACAGGAATCGGAAAGAGTCCGTTCGATGCGGAAAAAATATCCTGGTCGAATAGGTTTTGCGAAAATTTCTCGTGAGGTCAAGAGGGGCAGACACCGACGTCATCTGCAGACGGTACTCCCGACGGCTCGTAGTGTTTACAAGAGCCAAACGAGAAGGGGCACATGACTACTGCACTCTGTGAGTCTCCCATGGAAATTCAGTGAGTCCCTTGGGGACAGGGTAGCAGTAGAGAGCGCGTGCCCTCGTTCACAGAGCGATTCAAAGTTTCTTCCCACTTCTCCCTCCGTGTTCCTGAGCGCGTGTCTCGCCCCCGTTGACCCTGGCATTCCAGTGCGGAAGTTCCGCAGGAAGTTCATCGTCTGGCCTTGGAGAAGCCTCAGCGTCCACCCGTGTAGAGGAGGGATTCCACGTGCTCGAGGTCAATCCCTCTCCCGGCTCGAAGAGAACACTGTGAATGATTCTGCGAATAGAAGTAGAGGAGGAGGGCGATAACGGCGTCGCGTCGTCGTCAGCAGCAAGATCGGCCTTTCGTTCCAGCCAAACCATGTATCGGGAAACAGATCCGTTCCAGGATTCGCGAGCGAGGAGTATTTCACAGGTCGGGGCGGAGGGGAGGGGGAGGAGGGGGCGGTGGTTCGAGGGCGAGGGGTTGAACTCCCTCCCCAGCGGGGAAATCCGTGTCGCTTCGTAAACCACTAATACGTGAGTGCAAGAGATGGAACTGTGCGAGCTCAGCAATGCGCTGCGCACGACGGAGCACGTGCGAGTTTCCCTGGGCCGGGGTCCTTCGATCGCGACCTTGTCGGGTTGGAAATCGAAAATCTCGAGCCTGGAAAAGCGCGTGATATCGCGCTTCTGGACCCCATTGGAAGACCGCATCTCGCCGGAGGAATCTTAATCCGGATCGAGGCTCTCCGCTATGCAACGCTCTTGATACTTCCGCGCGCGCTCTGGGCACGTCGTCCGGCGCTCGACACCGACCCACCACGGGAGGCGGGCACGTAATCCCTCTCTCGCATATGAAATACAATGTTGAGAGCGCTGCCCCTGCTGATTACAAAGTTCGATGGCAGGTGAAACCCTCTTTCGTCACCGGCTTAAGTTCAGCATTTGGCTCCAATTCGTCGCGATGGAGTCCACCAGATGTGTAATCGAATGACGAATCGAGTGCCTCGCAAGGCTCGAATATTCATTTTTAGATCGGGACATCCGAGTATGAAAAAAAAACGTCCAGAAAGGGCAGAGCAATACTGACAGAGCGGTCCGAGCCAGAAGCGAAACGAGGGTAGGCTGTTACGTTTCCGCGTTTTTGGAGATGAAGGGCAGCGCCGCCGATGGCTTACCCTCTCTCCTCGACACTGAAGCAATGTGCAACACTGTAGCGGAAACGGAGCGAGCTCGAGCGGGTACGAGTCACCTCAACTGCTACCTCTACCTAC